ATTCTGACCATCTATGGCATGGAGCGTGGAGACCTGACTTGCTTGGAGGAGCGCTGCCCTTTTCGGGAGCCGCACAGCATCCTCCAAGCGCTGGACGTGGAGGACGCCAAGCTGTACCTGGACTTCCTGGTCCTGGGCATCTTCTTCCTGGCCCTCCGGCTGCTGGCATACCTTGTGCTTCGTTACCGGGTCAAGTCAGAGAGATAGAGCCTTGCCCTGGCCCTGGGCCAGCCCCCGCAACAGAAGGCCCCCAGCCCCAGCCCTCTGGGGACTGTTTTAACCTTGCAGACTTGGGCACGGGTTGAGAGGGTGCAGCTACCCCCTCCTTTCCCGGCTCCTCCACAGACTGGCTGGCGGACTGTGCTCCCAGCCCTGGCCTTGGGAGGGGGCCTCCAGCCCTCCCTGCCGTGCCCAGGAGTCTTCCCAAGTTGACGTGGATTGTAGCTTCCTCCCCACTCTCTTCAACATCTGCATGCAAACACCGCCAGGAGGCTGCCCCCCTCCTTGCCCTGGCACCCTCCTCGGTTGTCTGCCTGGGAGGCCCAGGCTCTCCAGGCCCCACTTAACAACTGACCAAAGTGGCCCCCTCTGGGGGCTCCCCACCGCACAAGTGTTTGTAAACTGGGCTGTTACAAGGTTGGGGTTCCAGGGCTGGGCCCTGGTGGGGTCCCGTGGAAGACCCATTTGGACACTGGAACGGAGCAGGGAAGGACTCTGGAAGTCTCTTCCTCCTCCTCCCCTCTCCCCTCCCTGAGACCCTGACTGATGTGGACAATCTGCTGGGACAGAAGCTGGGTTTTCTGTCTGGGTATCCCTCCCAATCCTGGGGATTGGAGAGGCCAGAGCCATGGGATGCTCCTCCCCTTCCCCATCATCTTTGCTGGGGGTGGGGCCTGGTGGTACCTCAATGCCTGTGTTTCTCCCCCGCCTGCCCCTGGAGCTGGAGAATGCACTTTATTCTGGGGGATGAGTGGGAGAAGACCCGAGCCTCCCCTCTCGCTGCCCCTGCTGCACGGCCCTGCAGTGCTCCCTCCCCGCTCTGGAGTTACAGGCACATATATGCAGACAGGCAATCTCAGCCCTACACACACTCGCTGTCCCCCATGGCTCAGAGGCAGAGTGACGGTGGCATGGTGGCAGTGGTGGGTGCTGTGGGGAGGCCAGTGCCAGCCTCCTCCTGAGGATCCCGCTCGCACTGTAAGGATGAGGCCAGTGCTGCCCAGGGCATCTCCAGGATCTGCAGGTGTCTGTCCCCAAGTCTTCCCTCCCTCCCAAGCCAGGGGTGGCACAGGACACTAGCTCCCTGGAGTTCAGGACCCAACACAAGCACAAGCATGGGCATAAGTTGGCCTTGGCCACTGCCACCCTATGGCCCTTCTTTTGTGCGTCAAGTGGCATTCACAACCCCCAACCCTGTCCCCAGCCACCTGCTGCTCATTCAAACTCCTGTCTGTGTCTCTCCACCTGCCTCCCATCAGCCAAGCTGGCCCCTGGGCATCAGAGCAGCATGCCCCAGACACCAGAGGGACAGACACACCCATAGCATGTCTGGCTTTCCTGGTGGGTCCGGGCTTACTCCACTTCTGATTTCCCCATCCCCTGGGGTTCCTCCCCACCTTATTCCTGTGCACACACCTCTCTACCTTCCCTCACCCTGCCTCGGATTCTCCCCATCGCACAGGGATGGGGTTGTATTTGTGGGGTTTCACCCATTATTAATAAAACCTATATTTATACAGTGTGCAGTATGTAAGTGTGTGTGGGTCTGTGAGGGGATCTTCAAAGCACTTGGCAAGAAGACTGTGAGCTTTATGGAGCCGGTGGTGGGGATGATAAGTCCTAGGTACATGTCAAGCAGTGAGTACATATCTCATGAAATGTCTATACCATGCCTTACAGCCTACAAATGCTTCACGTTCATTATTTCAGGGGAGTCCTGTGCCCACCCTGCATTCTTCTTCACGACAACCCATTTTGCAGATGAGAGAACTGAGGCTTGGGTGAAGTAACTTGCCCAAGGACCCTTAGTTGTTGGAGGTGGAACCAGGTATGGAAACCAGGTCTTCTGCCTTCACACTATTCATTCACGGCATTAGCCGATCATGCTGCCCAGGGTCAAGCTCTGGTGGTGCCATGTCTGTTGCGTGGGTGCATTTTTACCCCACTGACACATGACTCTCTTCAGAACTCGCAGAGCCCTGGGTTTGCCTATAGGGAAGGGGTGGTGGTTAGTAGTTTTAAAGGGCAGTGAGAAGCAGGAAAGACCCTGGAGCCTAAGCTCTAGAACAAGAGTGTCAGGGGCCTGGCTCGGTTCACCCTGGCTTTTCCCTTTCTTTCCTCTCCTCTCTCCACCGGGGCCACACTTAACCACTGCTGAGCCATCAGTCACCAGGACTGCAGGTGGGTCTGGTGGCCTGTGGTTTGGAGTTAGCAATTGTCCAGAAGTCCTTGAAGGCTGGTGGCAGGATGATCCAATAAGCAGCATATGTGTCACCTCTTCTCTCTTGATCCTGAAGCTTGGGGACTGAAGGAAGGGACTGGCATTCCCCCTGCCAGCTGCCTGGAACACCCTAGCTGTGCCGTATGCAGAGCTAAGTGTCTCAGGCTAGATTAGGGACCAGTCTGTGACTGGTTGGGTGCCTGTCTGGAGATGGACTAACTTTGTTTTTTTGTGGGGGTTAGGGGTGGGAGTGGGAGGAGGAAGAAGTCTGTCTCTTAGCTCCTGGAATTCTAGCTAGCTTTAGGGGGCACCCAGGGTGCCACCTTCTCCCTGGAGTGATGCCAGTAAGGATGGCTCTTTAAAGTCAGAGGGCACAAAATCTCACTCTTAAGTAGTCTTTCTTAAGATTCTTCATCTTTACTTTCTCTTTTAAAATGTGAATACTCCTAAAAGAGTAAAACATTTATAAAGCCACACATTTGTAAGTTCCCTTGGGAGTCAACAGGGACACACAGCCATTCTGGAGCTGGCGAGGGCTCTTCAGGCACAGGGAACATCTGCAGACTGGCTCACGTATTTGCAAAGAAAGCTCTTTTGAGTCTTCCAGCAACCCCCTGAGGCTGCTAGGATGAGTATTATAATTTTCTCCTTTTACAGACAAGGAAACCAAGGCTTGGCAAAGAGGCTTGAGCAAGCTCTCAAGACATGGTGGTCTTGCCACTGTGAGCACCTATGATTTCTTCCTCCCGGGAACCTGCGGAGGTGGGGCATAAATGCACTCTGTCCGGCTAAGTGTTCCCAAATGGGCTCACTCTCCCTGAATGCCACCCTCCCTGGACTCAGGAGTTATTTCCTTAAACGCAGCCACCTCCTGTGTCAGGGCCTTGGCAGGATGCTGGCAGGCAGAGATGACCATGGCGGTTCTCTGGGCTACGGCTCCACAACCCCTGGCACCCAGTCCTGAGGTCAGGTGACAGAGCACATTTCCGCAGCAAGACTGTCCGCAAAAGGCCGGTCAAATTACATGTTATCAGTAAACCTACATGGCTGTCACAGCTGCTGGGGGAAGCAGGAGAGGGGAATGGCTTGCTCGGAGCTGTGTCCAGTAACTGCAGCCAGGGGCCTGCAGCCTGCCTCTCATGGCAAGGTAAGTGGAGCGAAGCTACAGGAGTGCCCCCGTTTCTCAGGAAATGTCAGCCTGGGACTGCAGTCATGGTGCTGCTCTACCTCCCCTCCCTCATCCCATTTCATTCCCCCTTCAGAACTTCTCTTAAAATGAAAATGTGCCATTTTCCCTGCTGCCTGGAGTGGCCTTCCCTTCCCTGACTTAATTTTTTTCAAATGTCAACTCCGCTGCCAGAGGCAGTTAGTGACTTCCTCTCCCAGTCTTTCCTAAGGCTTCTGTCTGCCTCTGAGTTCATCTTCTGGGCCCCCTGGAGGGCGACTGCTATGGTCTGTTTCCCGGCTACCTGTTCCGGTTGCTCGGTACTAGCCCAATACCATGTGTTCAGTGAATGAGCACATGTCTTCATGCGTAAATGAAACAGCAGCATCTTCAGTCTGGATGAAGAGCAGAGACCCCAAAGCCCTCCCCCAGCCCTGCCCTGAGTGCCTCTCTCTCCCTCTCTGAGTGCCCTGGGGCACACCTGTTCCCTGCACCTGTTTGCATGTGGAGGCGGGCCCTGGCTGTGGGTGGCGGGTGGCTCCTCCATCAGCTACGTGGCCCCTGGGTGCGCCCCGTAGGAAGCACAGGGATGAGGGTGGGGGCTTTGAGGACCAGGAAGCCCCAAGGCGAGGCCATGACTGGGTGTCAGACAGGAAGAGCAGGTTGGGGTGGGAGCTGCCCCTCAGCCTCCGTTCTTCTTCCTTGACCAAAGTAACCAGAAGCCATACCCAGAGGTCTGGGGTCTACAGAGAGCCCGGTACAGAAGGGAGGACCCCGCAAGGCCGTGCCTCGGGTCTCCACCAGGAGGTGGGCTGAGGAGGTGGAAGCCTCAGGAAGGCCAGGGCGTGAGGTAGGCGGACCCAGACGCCGGATTCTCGGTCTGGCTTTCCCACTTCCTAACTGAGTCGTTCGCAGCCAAAGTCATTCCACCCTTCCGAGCTGCAGTTCTTTCATCCGTAAAATGGGCCTAACGAGCAGCCCGCGCAGGGGCGGGAACGGCGCTGGGTAGCCTGCAGGGGGCAGTGTGGGCGGCAGGGCCCGTCGGGGCCGAGGCTGCACCCGGAGGGCGGGGCGGAGGGCGGGGCGGGTGGGGAGGAGTCCCCGCCTCCCGCCCTGGGCCTGTTCCGCCGGCGCCCGACCGCTCTGCGGTCCCCTGCCGCCCCGGACAGACCCCGCGGGGCCCGAACCTGGGCTCGTCCTCGCCGGGCCCGCGGCCGGGCCGGGCGCCAGGCGAACAGGAAGCGCCGCGCCGCGGCCTTTGGGAGCGACGGGAGACGCAGGCGGGCGGCGGGCGACGGGCTCCCGGGCCGGGCCCCCGCGGGTAAAGGCCTAGCCAGCCCCGCCGCCCCTCGCCGGGCCGGGCTGCTGCGCTCGGCGGGGCCGGGGGCCGGGCGGGCGGCGCGGGGGCGGGTGCTGGGCCGCTGCTGAGAGTTCACTGCCGGGAAGGGCAGGGCAGGGCCGGCGCGCTGAGTGGTGGGCAGCCGGCAGGCTGTGCAGCCTCCTGGAGCTAGGAGAGCTGCTTGGGACCCAGTGTGGGGAGACGAGTTTTGGACCTGGGGGACCACAGACTCTGAACTTTACCTGCTGTGCCCCCTCCTTTTCTCAGTGCCCCGGAGCCCTGGGGGGATCTTTGGGGAATTGCTCTCACTACCCCAATCCCCATGGCCAATTCCATCCTGAGTCAGTAGCCCTGGAATCCGATTTTATCCCACTGAGCTAGTTTCCCCGAGCTTTCTCGGCTTTCCAGGGCCCTCCCTTAGCCCTTCTCCAGCCTCTGGGACCCCTGCCCTGAGCCCCAGCCTGCCCCTCCCCCGGTTGGCCCTGCTGGCAGGTGGGCCCACACCACCAGTTCTCCCTCAGTGCGCCCTGCCCTCGAGGAGCCACACCTCACTGGAGACCAGGTGCCAACAAGCAGCAGGCTCCATTTACGGGAGATCCGGAGGGGTCAGGAAAGACGTCTGAGGAGAGAGGACTTTTGGGCAGGTCTTAAAAGACTGGGTAGGATTCTGACAGGAGAGGAAGGTCATTCCAAGCTGAAGGAAGTGTACGAACAAAATTAGGAAAGTTTAGGAAAGTTTCAGCAAGAATTCAGAGGTTGGGGGCAAGCTCAGAAAAGTGGCTTGTGTGGGTCAGGTGCCTGGTCTCTGTATGTAACTTAGGACTTCGGGGAGGTGATTGGTGGCTGGGTGAGGAATTGAAATGGGTGAGACTGAACGCAGAGGCCAGTAGGAGAAGCGAGTCCCAGAAGTCCGCGGAGAATCTGAGGTCCTACAGGAGCAGTAGCCTCATGCAGTACAAAGGCTGGCAAAGCAGGGGGTAGGACTGTTTCCACCATGTGAAGGAGGGGAGAAGGGCTTCAAGACCGAGAGGCCAGGTTTCTCGTGTAAGTGGTGTGATGGGAAGATATGCAGTGAAGGGGGAGGGGCAATGAGTTCAGTTCTGCACGTGTGAAGTTTAAAGCATGGACAAGGTATCCATCTGCTGATGGCACGTGGAAAGTTCATTTATTTACTTATTCATTATTTATGCCGGCCTCAAAGTCACAGAGAAGAGAAAATGACAAAACCACTAAAACTCAGCTAGAAGGACCTGATAGCTAGGGAACAAACGCAGAGCAGGGAGATGATTGTCCCTGGGAAAGGTAAGCTCAGAAAAGTCACTGAAAATGCACACAGGACTCATGTGAGCTTGCTGGCAGCCAAGCCAAAAAAAAAAAAGGACGCCTAAATAAAGCAGTTCACTAGGCTGAAACTCAGGAGAAAGGCGTTAGTGAAGGCTCAGGGGAGAGCCAATAGGTGGTAGGAGATAAAATGGGATCACTCAGGTGGGGGACTTAGGGAGGCGATCTGAGGGCCAGGGCGGGGCTTTGGCGATGCTGACGCTGGAGAGGCTGACACTGCTCTGAGGACGAAGGCCCTTCCTTGGCCTGCACGGGGAGGTGCGGGCAGGAAGGTGGGGGGTGTATGTGGTCCATCCACACCAGTCTCCTTGCAGGGCTACAGGATAGAAGTGCTGTGCTAAGTCTCCTGGGCTCTGACCTTCTTTTCTGCCATGAGGTGGGGCCGCCATTTGCCCAGAGCCTCTTGGGGCTCTGGTCTGGGCAGATCACTCCAGACACCAGGTGAGCAGGAAGCAGGGGTTTCTGTTCCTACTCCCTCTTCAGAGTACAGGTGGTGCCTCCAGGAGGGCAGGGATCCAGACACCAGTTGTGGGAGTCCTGGTTCTGTGATTCAGTAGCCTTTGGCCTTGGGCAAGTTGCCGCACCTCCCTGAACTTCGTCTCTGCCATCCTAAAATAAGGAGGTTGGACTAGATGATCTTTGAGGGTCTCTGTAGCTACGTAAGTCCAGGAATACTTGTCTGATTTCATTTTGCATTCAACAAATATTTACTGAATGTGTGCTATGTGCCAGACCCTGTGCTGTGTTCTGAATGTAGAACTGTGAACAAAAACAGAATTGATCCCTGCTCTCACAGAGGCGGGGAACAGAAATGAATGTTAATCGAATAATTGCACAGTGAACTATAAAACTGTATAGTGATTGCTACAGAGGGGCGGTACATGATGCTTTGAGAGCCCATACTGAGGGATTTGATGTAGACCTGGGGTCTTTGTATTGGTGGGGGGATGTGGATGGGATCTGGACGCTATTTCTTTCTTTCTCTTTAGAGGAACATGTCCCTTTCCCGATGCACTGGAGTTGGCCCCTTAAAGGGGAGCCTCCCCTTGCACCCCATAGGTGAGCCTGCATGTCATATCTGAGAACATATCTGGGCACAGCAGCATAGCCTGGGAAGGGTCAGGACTTGGAGAGAGCTTCGTGCCCTGCTGGGAGGTTGGTTCACCCCTGGGGGAGCATGGGGGGAGGGTACAGAGTCAGCTAGCAGGCCTAAGAGGAAGTTGGTTTATATCATCTATAGTGCAAGTCACAGTGGTCAGCCAGAGGGAGGACCTGTGGGAAATGGGTGGAGTCTGGCAATGGCCAGCCTGAGTTCCAGACAGGCAGGTGGGCAGCAGCCAGGGGCTGGAGGGCTAGGGGCCAGACCTTAGTCCCTGGGAAGGGTGTGAGAGTCAAACAAGGCTGTTGACTTGGGTGGTCAGTGTCAGGTCTGGATCTCAGGAAGCCAGAAGTATCAGTCCAGACAGGCCTGGCTGCTGAGCCTGTGCAGAGGCTGAGCCCAGTAACCAAGCCCCAGCTCATCCCTTCTCTTTGCTCTCAGGGCCTTTATACGCCACTGTGGAAGCTCAGCCAGAAATGGCCCCCCCTCAGGGAGGCATGGACAGTTGTTCCGGAGCATCTCTGCAGCTGGTAAAGGACTGGCTCTTCCATCAGCCTGAGGAGAGGGGCTGGCTGGGATCCCAGTGGGAGGTGAGGGGCAGATGGGGAGAGGGGCTGGAGGGAGAAGCAGGCAGCAAAGAGGAAGCAGAGAGGATCCACTGCCATCTCCATCAGTGGGCTCACCCTCCCTCACCCCATCACCCATCTGTCCATGTATCCCTTCCTTGTGCAACGTTCACTGACCATGTACAAAGTGCTGGGAGGCATGCATCATCCCTGCTGTCAGCAAACTGGGTCTAGCAGTCAGGCGAAGATTGCATGCAGGTAACCACACCAGTCAGCTCAGGCTCAGTCTCACTTGTCTGGTGGCTCCCCACTTTCTGCTGCAGGAGTTCCAAACTTCCTGGGCAGTCTGTTTTCTGAGGGAGTCCTGTGTGCCCAGCCCCAGTCTGCACCCCCGCATCTCCTGGTGCTGCCTGACCTTACCACCGCCCTGGCCTGCCCTCAGCTGCATCTTCTGACCCCTTTCCCTGCCCCCTTGCCTTCCCATCTAGAAGCTATCCAGCGGCACCGCAGGAACCTGGCCGAGTGGTTCAGTCGGCTGCCCAGGGAGGAGCGCCAGTTCGGCCCAACCTTTGCACTAGACACGGTCCATGTAGACCCTGTGATCCGCGAGAGCACCCCTGATGACCTGCTTCGCCCACCGGCAGAGCTGGCCCTGGAGCATCAGCCACCCCTGGCCAGGCTCCCCTCACTGGCCCTGTCTCAGCTCTTTGACCCAGATGCCTGTGGGCGCCGGGTGCAGACAGTGGTGCTGTATGGGACCGTGGGCACAGGCAAGAGCACGTTGGTGCGCAAGATGGTCCTGGACTGGTGTTACGGGAGGCTGCCAGCCTTCGAGCTGCTCATCCCCTTCTCGTGCGAGGACCTGTCATCCCTGGGCCCCACCCCGGCCTCCTTGTGCCAGCTAGTGGCCCAGCGCTACACACCCCTGAAGGAGATTCTGCCTCTGATGGCTGCTGCTGGTTCCCGTCTGCTCTTTGTGCTCCATGGCTTGGAGCAGCTCAACCTTGACTTCCGGTTGGCTGGCACTGGGCTTTGCAGTGACCCTGAGGAGCCAGAGGCACCAGCTGCCATCATTGTCAACCTGCTGCGCAAATACATGCTGCCAGAGGTGAGTGGCCCCTTGTGCCACCCTGCCACCACTGCCCCTTACAGATTTTTGGGTCCTGGGTAGGAGCATAGGCTCTGGGGTTGCCCCTTCACTTCCCAGCTGTATGTCTTTGAGCAAGTCATTAACTTTCCCCAAGCTTCTGTTTCCTTCTCTCCTTGAGTTGTACTGATCAAATGAGATATTGCTTATAAAGTGCTTAGCACAGTGCTCTGGATCCTAGTAGATGCTCAGTAATTGTTAGTTATCCTTTTTATGGCCCTTGTCATCTTCATTCTTGGACACTCAATCTTCAGGGGCTTCCTGGGGAGTGAGGCAACCAGGACAAACGAGGTCTTTCTTAACACTCCCCATGCTCTTCCCAGGCCAGCATTCTGGTGACCACCCGGCCCTCTGCCATTGGCCGCATCCCCAGCAAGTATGTGGGCCGCTATGGTGAGATCTGTGGCTTCTCTGATACCAACCTGCAGAAGCTCTACTTCCAGCTCCGCCTCAACCAGCCAGACTGTGGGTACAGTGCTGGGGGTGCAGGTGTCTCAGCCACGCCAGCTCAACATGACAACCTGGTAGAGATGCTCTCCCGGAACCTGGAGGGGCACCACCAGATCACTGCTGCCTGCTTCCTGCCGTCCTATTGCTGGCTAGTCTGTGCCACCCTGCACTTCCTGCATGCCCCCGTACCAGCTGGACAGACCCTCACGAGCATCTATACCAGCTTCCTGCGTTTAAACTTCAGTGGGGAGATGCTGGACAGCACTGATCCCTCCAAGCTGTCCCTGATGGCCTACGCAGCCCGAACCATGGGCAAGTTGGCCTACGAGGGGATGTCTTCCCGCAAGATCTACTTTTCTGAAGACGATGTCCGTGGTTGCCTGGAAGCTGGCATCAGGACAGAAGAGGAGTTTCAGTTGCTGCATGTCTTCCGCCGGGATGCCCTGAGGTTTTTCCTGGCTCCGTGTGTGGAGCCGGGGCACCCAGGCACCTTTGTGTTCACTGTGCCTGCGATGCAGGAATACCTGGCTGCACTCTACATCGTGCTGGGTTTGCGTAAGACGACGCTGCAGCGTGTGGGCAAGGAAGTGTCTGAGTTAGTGGGCCGTGTTGGGGAGGACGTCAGCCTGGTCCTGGGCATCGTGGCCAAGCTACTGCCCCTGCGGGCCCTGCCTCTGCTCTTCAACTTGCTCAAGGTAATAGCCCCAGGACCCCAGACTGTCAGGCCCCACATTCTCCTTTCACCCCTTGCTCCTCTCCTGGAAGGAATCTGCTAATTCTTGCATAGCTGTCAATCCTCTTCTTGACTCTAGCTTCAGATGTGGGCAATCTAGCTTTTGGTGGAATTGGGGCATAAGGAAGGGGGAGAGAGAAGCCACAGGCTGGGGAAGGCTTGGAAGCTGGGGTCGGCGGGGGATCTGAGGGTGCAGAGACTTTAATAACAAACCTGCAACCCTAATGAGGGTTTTCTGTTTGCATCTCTTCTCCTGGTCTTTATTGTTGGGATGCAGGGGTCACTACAGGCCAGGTTCTGTCCTCTGCTTTGCAGATCCAGAAGCTTGATTATATCTGTTCCCCTAGAAGTGATCCAACTCCGGGAGTGCTGACTCATCCTAAGTAAATCACCAGAGACAAGTTTATAAAACAGATGCCATTTTATTCATTTATATTAGGAGGATAAATGGCACTGGTAATTGACTTAGGACAGTCCGGCCAGAGAACAGGTCTGCTCCAGAAACCGCATTACAGGCCTGAGGACTGTTCTCTGAGCAGGACAGATGCACAGAGTTTTTGAGGGGAAGAAGGATTCATTCTCTGCTGATATATTTCAGGTGCCTTGTAAATGAAATACTGTTATGATCCCTTTTATACATGAGGAAATGGAGGCTCACAGAGGCTAAGTCACTTGTCCAAGGTCACTCATATAGTTGATAGAATAGCTGGGATCTGAGTCTAGGTTTTATGATTCTGAGTCCTGTGCTCTTTCTGGCAAACTTTACTGATGTATTATGGCTATTTCTTTTAAGCTATGGTGCCTTGCTAGGTAACCCTGGTCCTCTCTAGGAATGTTCCGGTAACTAGTCTTAAGGAAGCAGAGCTCTGGTCAGTGCTGGCAAAAGTTTAACAAATTTTCCTTTTTATAGGCAGCAAAGCACAAGGGTTAAGAACAGAGATTCAGAAGTGCTGCTGCCTAGGTTCAAATCCAGGTTCTACCACTTAGTAACTATGTGACTTTGGACAAGTTACTTAACATCTCTGTGCATCACAGTCCTTATCTGTTAAGTGGGGATAAATAATAGACTCTATATCAATGGCCTGATATGAGGACTAAATGTATTCATCCTCAGGACATGACACGTAGTGGTGCTATTTAATTGTTAAACATAAAGACAGGCTCAGGCAGCCCACCCCGTCTCACACCATCACCTCCGACAGAGAAGCAGTGGCCACAGCTGAGGCCACCCCGTGCTTTTGAGGATGTGCCTGCCTTTTCTGGATGCAGTGAGAGGTGGTCTCCTGATGGGATGCAGAAAGCCCCATAGTTGTTTGAGGGTGCGCCTAAATCGTTGGCCCCGTTTCCCCAAGCCCTCTTGGAGGGAGTGCTGCCTAGCAGAGGACGGGTTCCCATTGTTTCTTCATGATTCTGTGGAGTCAGCTTCACCGAGTGACTTTTTCTCATCTCATCACCAGATGATGTATTGGGGGAGGAGCACTAAAACCTTCATGACAGGAACCTCACCTATGAAAAGTGAGAAAAACAAGACCAGACCTTAGAGGAGATGCCACAAAACCACCTCGTGCCAGAGGAACAGACCCTCCTTTCCTTTCAGAACCACCGCCGGGATGGGAGGGGCATCACCAACTCCCAAACGATCATTTCTTCAACAAGTATTCACATGCCCGCCGTGTGCCAGGCAGTGTTATTAGATTCTGAGAAGAAACAGTGAACAAAACCCCAGGCTTCTGCCCTTTCTGATTAGTCTGACCACAAACATGTCAGTGTAACCATGTAATTAAAAGTTACAGAAAGTGTCTGGAAAGCAAAGTTCCAGGCACTGTGAAAGGGTGGGAATGGGGGAACTGGATGGCAGAATAAGGAAGCCTCTCTGCAGGGAAGGCCTTTAGCCTGACCCCTGGAGGTTTAGCCTGGAGAAGGACTGGGGGTGAAAATACCCCAGGAAGAGGGTGCAGCTCTGAAGGAAGAGAAACCTTGGCACTGCTACCGAAAAGAGAGAGAGAGAGAAGCCAAAAGGTCAGAGGTGGAGCGTGTGAGGGTGAGAGGCCCGTGAGGAAGGCGCCCAGGTCCTTGACAGGGCAGGAGGGACAGCAGCCGCTATTGTTCTCGATGATGATGAAGTCATCGAAGATGGTGATGTGTTTATATACCCAGCCTAGTCTCAAACTAAATGTATCATATTTGCCAATTTCCTTCCCATCACCTCCTGGGCTTAAAATGTATGGGGTTTTTGGGAAAAAGAATTTCCCAATGTCCGGAGGGTCTGAGACAAGTGTTGGAAGATGAATCTGGAGAGGTCAAATCAGGCCAGATGATGAAAACTTCCCTATCCACACGGGCCGTGGGGAGCCACGCAACGTGATGCAGCAGGGGAGGGTGTAGTGCGGTCAGACAAATCGTGCTGCGAGCTCAGGGGCGACGGCAATGCTGGAGCCGTCCAGGAGAGCGCACTCGGGGTGCTCAGGAGGCTGCAGCACCTTCCCCACTTCCTTTCCCAGGTGGTTCCAGGAGTGTTCGGGCGTGTGGTGGGCAAGAGCCGCGAGGCCGTGGCCCAGGCCATGGTGCTGGAGATGTTCCGAGAGGAGGACTACTACAACGACGACGTCCTGGACCAGATGGGGGCCAGCATCCTGGGAGTGGAGGGCCCCCGCCGCCACCCTGACGAGCCCCCCGACGATGAGGTCTTTGAGCTTTTCCCCATGTTCATGGGGGGGCTTCTTGCCGCCCACAACCGCGCCGTGCTGGCTCAGCTCGGCTGCCCCATCAAGAACCTGGATGCCCTGGAGAATGCCCAGGCAATCAAGAAAAAGCTGGGCAAGCTGGGCCGGCAGGTGCTGCCCCCCTCAGAGCTCCTTGACCACCTCTTCTTCCACTATGAGTTCCAGAATCAGCGCTTCTCCGCTGAGGTGCTCAGCTCCCTGCGCCGGCTCAACCTGGCGGGTGTGCGCATGACACCCCTCAAGTGCACGGTGGTGGCAGCTGTACTGGGCAGCGGAAGGCACGCCCTGGATGAGGTGAACTTGGCCTCCTGCCAGCTGCCCCCTGCTGGGCTGCGCACACTCATGCCTGTCCTCCTGCGTGCCCGCAAGCTGGGGTGAGGACCCGGGCTCGTGCAGAGCTGTGAAGGAGAGGCTGGGGATGCAGAGGTGGGAAGAGGAGATGCTAGGGAAACCAGAGGGGGTGTGGAAGGGCCAGGGAATGGAAGGAGGAAGTCTGTTGTGGGTGGAGGCAGCAGAAGCCACAGAGCCACAGAAGGGAGGGCAGGAGGTGTGGACTGTAAGAGGCAGCATGGTAAGAAAGGGGCACAGGGATGGGTAGGTTCTATGCCAAACTCCTTCCTTGGTTTCTCACCTCCCCCGCCACCTTCTGCTCCAGCTTGCAACTCAACAGCCTGGGCCCTGAGGCGTGCAGGGACCTCCGAGACCTGCTGCTGCATGACCAATGCCAAATTACCACCCTGCGGTGAGTGCCCTGGGCAGAGGGCGGCTCTGGCCATCCTGGCGGTCAGCTAAGGTCAAGAGTGAGCCTCTTGCCTCACAGCATAGCTGGCACAGGCTCACTCATGGTGTAGTGCAGGGGGTGGGAGTCTGGACCCCGTCCTGCTCCCCCAGGTCCAGTTAGAGCAGCAGGACGGGAGGAAGAGGCCACTAACAAGAGGTGCTAAGAAAGCATCTCCCATGGCTAAAGTCAGCCTGGGGAAGGAGTGGGCAGACTAATACCCAGGCCTGTTGCCTGGTAACAGTGCCACTGATCCCCTCCCAGGATTTTCCCTGTCATCTTGAAGGATGACTCTGATGCTGGGCATTCGGGAGATACTCCCAGAGTGTTGACTGATTTCTAGTTGGAATAAGGGGAGGTAAATGAGGAGGCCGTGGGGGGGAAGGATGGGGAAGCCAGATCTCGGAAAGAGGAGGAAAAGGAGGAAGGGAGATGGTGACAACAGAGAGGAAGGGGGAGGGGAGAGGAGAAGCCAGCTTCTGTCCCCTCTCCCTCCCCTGCAGGGGGCCATGCCCCCTTTCTCTGGCCTCTTCTCCTGGGCCTGCATTTCTGTGTGTCCAGGCTCATCTCTGTTCCAGGCTGTGCACTCTCTGACCCTGACGCCCAGCACAGGGCATCTACCACGGGCCCTCATAACCCTGTGGTGCTTGTGGCCTAGGCTCTCCAACAACCCGCTGACGGCAGCGGGGGTGGCCCTGCTGGTGGAGGGGCTGGCCGGAAACACCTCGCTGACACACCTGTCCCTGCTGCACACGGGCCTTGGGGACGAGGGCCTGGAGCTGCTGGCTGCCCAGCTGGACCGTAACCAACAGCTTCAGGAGCTGAACGTGGCCTACAATGGTGCTGGTGACACAGCAGCCCTGGCCCTGGCCACGGCTGCCCGGGAGCACCCTTCCCTGGAGCTACTGCAGTGAGTCTTGTCCCGGGTCCCATGCCCCACCCGAGCCGGCAGTCTTCCCCTGCCTCTCAGCCCTCCGTCCCTCACCTGCTGTGTTTCCCCTACAGTGGGGGCGCACCTAGGCCTGTCCCCTAGTCCTGGCTTCTGACTGACCCTTATGGACCTGCATCGAGCCAACCCACCCCACTATGGTCCCTTATGCTGCCCTGATTCCCTAAGGCGATTTCTCCGAGAGTCCTGTTGGTCCCATTCCCACTGTCCCTGGTCCTGCTGAATTCTAGAGTCATCCCTGCCTTCTACAGGCCACCACCCTCCACCTCTGGCTTGTTGCAGATATCCCATCACATTTCCATAGCCAGGGGATGAGTTGGGAGACACCCGCCACCCACCCTAAACCACCGTCTTCCTCTCCTTCTGAGAGCCCTGCTGGATGGCATTTCTCTTCTCTCTCCTGCCAGCCTCTACTTCAATGAGCTGAGCTCGGAGGGCCGCCAGGTGCTGCGGGACTTGGGGGGCACCACGAAAGGTGCCCGGGTCGTGGTGTCGCTGACCGAGGGGACAGCAGTGTCCGAGTACTGGTCGGTGATCCTTTCTGAAGTCCAGAGGAACCTCAACAGCTGGGATCGGGGCCGGGTGCAGCGCCACCTTGAGCTCCTGCTGCGGGATCTGGAAGACAGCCGAGGAGCCACCCTTAACCCCTGGCGCAAGGCCCAGCTGCTGCGGGTGGAGGGCGAGGTCAGGGCTCTCCTGGGACAGCTGGGAGGCTCTGGAAGCTGAGACAGCAGCAGCCAGCACCTAGCTGGGTGACCCCTTCCCTGGGGGGCCTCTTCACTTGCACTATTCCTTCTAGAAAGATCCCTTTGGGGCTGGAGGCAAAGGAATGGGCTTGGCTATGCCAGTTGCCCTCCAGGGCTGTGTGTGACCACTGCTGCCAAGCCTAGAATTTCCCTGGAACATGCCTCCTCTCCCTTCAGCTAGAAGGAGCGAAGGAGGGGCATTTTGGTGGCCAGACTGCCTGATAGCACCACCACCAACCTCGACAAGCTCTCCTCTCAGGGCATCCTTGGTTGTGCCACAGGAGGCCCACTTCCTATGTCTGCCCAGCCAGGGGTGTTGCCATGTGGATGTGTTGGGGGACCTCCACCTTTTGCCTTTATGTGTATCTGGGGATGGTGAGGGTGCCCACAGCCACTTTGCTCTGTCATTAGTGCTTTCTCTGCACACTCAGGGTACTGGTGCTCAGAGGCCCCTGCGGGAATGTGTGCTTCCATTAAAAAGCTGTGTGTCTTCCACTTACTGTGAGCTTTTCCTCGTGTGGTGCTTTCAAGGAAAAGGGTACTGTTCTTGGTCATTCTGGTTAAATGACTGACCGCTTTCTGTTGGGAGTGGTTCTTGGACACTAGGTTCAGAGGCAGTGAGGGCTGGGAAGCCCACAAACAAGATACTGGGGTGGGGTGCGGTGGGAGATTGGCCTTTTCATTCATACTTACCCCATGCTTAGAAGTAGAATAGTCAGCACCTACCTTTCTTTGCACAGAGCAGGAGCTGAGACAGCAACAGAGCCTCGGGAGAAAGTTGAGGCCCAGGAATGGGGGCAGGAGGAACGTGCGCACTTCCCCAGAGGATGATAAGATTCTCCTCCTGTTAACCATTATCCCCCTGCTTCCAAGGCAGTGTCTTCAAGGAGGCGTGACGGTACAGGGCAGGGTAGGTGGGAGGGTCAGCTGCTTTCAATGGACCTTGGCCCCACACCGAGCACTGGGTCGCTGATCCAGCTATGGAGGCAGCCACAGGTAGGAGGCGGGAGAAACCCTCGGAGGGGACTTGAGGACAGTCAGGGGGCAGATTGTGAGGCTGGGGCTTTGGGACCAGGGCACACTCTATGTTGGGGCTTGGAGCTCCGAGGCAAAGAGACTGGAAGTTAGGAGAGAAGAGGTGAGTGGGTGTCTTTCTGGTCCACGCCCCATACTGATATGCTCAGATTTCTGTGCCACGGGCTTGGGAGGGGGAGGAAGAGGAAGGGAAGACCCTTCTGGAGCAGAAAGGCAGGGGCAGGTCCCCTAAGTCCTTTCAGGGAATGGCCCTGGAAGAGGGGTCGGGGGAAGAATGTGCCTCTCCTCACCCCTTCTTTGACCAGCAGATCTTCAGGACGCGGCCTTGTTACCTCTGTAAGTGCCGAGCTGGGAGGGCTTGGGGCAAGGGAGGAGGGGACCGGAGGTGGGGAGGCTCTGCAGCTGCCCTCGCACCTCATATCATCGGGTCCAGGGCCCAAGTCCAGATGTCAGCTTCCTCCTACCTGGTCACCTTGCCTCCTCGCAGGAAGTTCGAGTTTAACCCGAAGCTGGGCATTGATAATCCTGTCCTGTCCCTGGTGGAAGATCATGACCTCTCTGGTAAACCTCTCACCCCCTGGGCAACTCCTTTCCCCAGAGATACCAAACTCTACACAGCCTCCCGTCTCCTTGGCAACCCCTCCCTCTGACCCCCTCTGATGACAGCCTTGGTGGAAGTTAATTAGGAGGAGGTGGTATTCCAGCCACCGCCCACGTGGTGTTCAGTCCCACTGCCCAGTACCGGACAGGGTAGAAGCCTATCACTGGGACAGGGTCTGCTGGGGGCGAGGTGGCTTGTACTTGGGCTACGTCCTCCCACTCCCCCTTTTCTGCTGCCCCCCTCCCCCTCCAGGTCTCTGGAGCCTGGAGCCGCCTCGCTTCTGTCTGCTGAGCAAAGAGAATGGCAGGAATTTTGGGTTCCACTTGAAGCAGGAGCTGGGCGGGGCGGGGCCTGTGGTGTGCAGGGTGGAGCCAGGCACCTCTGCCCAGCGCCAGGGTCTGCAGGAAGGAGACCGGATCCTGGGGGTGAACAACCACGTGGTGGAGCATGAAGAGTATGCGGTGGTGAGGCTGGGCTGGGGCTCCCTTTGGTGCAGGAGCCTTGCTGCAGCCCTTCTCTCTCTGGGAGAGAAGCTGGTTGGTCACCTTCCCGGGTACTTGGGGGCAGTGTCCAAGCCCCAACCTCCCTTACCTCCCAGGACTGGGTTCCCGGGTTGGAATGTTTGGGTGAAGGCATCCAGAGAGCTGGTTCCTGTGGTGAAACATAGAGATTCCAGGGAGGCGGAGCTGGCAAGGGGGGCTGGCCCCGACCTTACCCACATGCCCTCTGTTTAGGTGGTCCGTCACATCCGGGCCAGTGGCCCTCGGGTGCTGCTGACGGTTTGGACGCAGCACGTGCATGATGTGACCCGAGCTCAGCAGGGGAATGATGCCCACCTCTGTCCTACTCTCGGCCCGGGGGTCCGGCCCCGGCTGTGCCACATAGTGAAAGATGAGGGTGGCTTTGGCTTCAGTATCACCTACAGTGAGCTTAGAGGCTCGGGAGGGAGGTCAGGACGGGGCCTCAGCCCTGCTCTAGACAGATGCAGACTGAAGCTTGCTTCTCTTTCTGCTCCCAGGACATCAGGGTCACTTCTGGCTGGGGCTGAGCCCTGGAGGAGCCGCTGAGAGGGCAGGGGTGCCCCCTGGAGCCCGACTGCTGGAAGTGAATGGGGTCGGTGTCGAGAGGTTCACTTACAGCCGGCTCAGCAGGAAGGTACAGCTGCGTCCCCATCCAGCCCCACCCATCACCCCTCTGGACAGGGGCCCTGCCTCCGGAAGCTGGCTCTTTCCCACACGCCTAACCTGCCCTGTGCCTCCTTCACCATCCCTCCCTTTACAGTCCATGCTAGGCCTTCTCTCTCCTGTCCTTAATTCCTTAATGCTTTGTTCCTGGGCCTGGGAAGAGGAGCTGTGAGGAGGGGCCTGCCTCTGCCCCACCCACCCAAGTGGCTAATGCTGATACCCTGCTGGGTCCCCACAGATTTGGCAAAGTGGAGAGCAGGTGACCCTGCTTGTGGTCGGGCCAGAGGTGGAGGAACAGTGTCGCCGGCTGGGAATGCCCCTGGCCGCACCCCTGGCAGAAGGCCGGGCTCTGCCCAACAAACCCCGCTGTCTGCACCTGGAGAAAGGGCCCCAGGGCTTTGGGTTCCTGCTCCGGGAAGAGAAGGGCCTTGACGGTCAGCTCGGTGAGTGGGTCACCTGGGGTGGGCATACAAGTGTACATATACGCTTCACAGTGCACGTAAGCGGGCTCCCTGGCTGACCCCCAGCCCTGGGCCACTGACTCCCAGGGTCAGTCCCCTGGTGCACACACAATGGCCTGGGCCTGGGGGAGGAAAAGTGAGGATGTCTTACGTCCAGGACAGTTCCTGTGGGAGGTGGATCCTGGACAGCCAGCCAGGAAGGCTGGGATGCAGGATGGGGACCGGCTGGTGGCTGTGGCTGGGGAGAGCGTGGAGGGGCTGGGCCATGAGGAAACAGTGTCCAGGATCCGGGCACAGGGCTCCTGTGTGTCCCTCGTCGTCGTTGACCCTGAGGCTGACCGCTTCTTCAGCATGGTGCGTGCTGAGGGGCAGAGGCTAGGGTGGGGTAGGAATGGAGCAGGGCTTAGATGGAGGGAGAAGCTACAGGTTTGCTCTGTCCACCTCCTTCCAGGTTCGCTTATCCCCACTCCTCTTCCTGGAGAGCCCAGAGGTTCCTACCTCTCCCCAGGACACCTGCTCAGCCTTTCTGGTTGACACCAAGGACCCACCAGTTGAAGACACAGCCACACCTTTTGCCCCATGTGGGTCCTGTCAGTGCGTGCTCTACCCCGGGCCTGGCGGTGGCTATGGCTTCCGGCTTAGCTGTGTGGCCAGTGGGCACTGTCTCTTTGTCTCCCAGGTGACTGATACCCTGTGGACCCTGGATCCTTGCAATCATTTGCCTCCTGCCAAGCCTTCCTCTGTTTCCCTCCCAGGGTCTTAGAGCACCCAGCAGACTTCCCCATAGGATTCCAGGTTCTGTAATGCCCCTCTTCATGCCAGGTGACCCCAGGAGGCTCAGCTGACCGGGCAGGACTGCAAATGGGAGACGTAATTCTCGAGGTGAATGGGTATCCCACGGGTGGAGAGAACAACCCGGAGAAGCTTCAGCAGCTGGCTGAAGCTCAGCCGCCCCTCTGCCTGAAGCTGGCGGCCCGGTCTTGGCAGGGCTGGGAAGCCTGGATTCCCCAAGGGTCTCAGGAGGTAAGGAGGAAGAGACAGATGGACTCTGGATGGCCACAGAAGGACAGAGGGGAGCCAGAGGGACAGGCAGAGCAGGGAGCCTGCCGGCGAAGCAGCGTGAGGCACAGAGTTTGGGACTTAGGGCCATGGTAGGTGGGGACACAAGGACCCACGGAGCGAGCCCCATCCCTGGCATTTCGGCACAGGTAGGGGCAGGGAAAAGGAACTCCTCTGGGCCCTGAACAACCTTCCCCCTTCTCTCTCGGCTTAGGTCTCGGCTCTGGCCTCAGGGCTGCTGTAGTGCTCCCCTGCTTGGCGCACGCCTGCCCAGGGGCTCTCCTGTCCCTATTTCCAGCCCGAGGTGGTAGCATCTGAGACCCTCTCTTTAGGCTGAGAAGAAACAAACTCTAAGACTCTGGACACGTCCCATCCTAGGATTGCCCGGGGTCTCCCTCCCTCCCTTCCCATGGGCCGATATCCCTGGAAAGGGTGTGGCCAGAAGGCCTCTGGTCCCCGTCAGTGAGCCTCCCGTCTGATTCCAGAGGACGTCACCTGGGAGCTTTGGGAGCTGTGCCCGAAGGATGAGTGGTGTGATTTTGTGATTTATAAGAAATGTATTTATACACTTATCACAGTGAGCATTTAATAACATATATAAGTTAGTAATAACGTGTAACAGTTGAATCGCTGTTGTACACCTACAACCAATATTGTGTTGTACACATATTTAATTGAACTATATTTCAATTAAAAAAGAAAGAAACCAGAAATACTCAGTATCATTTTATAACTGCAATATATAAATTTTTGGATTTAATAAACTAAATATTAATGAAGTGGAAAAAAATAGCCGTTTTTCACTTTTAAAAAATATGTGTATATATATATATATATTTGGTCTTCATACTCTTTCCTGGCACAAAGCCCTAAAACCCTTGGAATTTCCTAAGCAATGAGAGTATTAAAGGTATCTTCTATTATTCATAACAAGCCCCTTTCAACACACCCCATTCTGTTAATGAAATGACTTTCAGAAAGCACCTAAGGATGGAGGGGGGTGCGGTTGCCAGGGGAACAGACCTTGTGATTAGAGGGTTGGAATTTTTGGCCCCACCCCAACCTTCACCTCCCACCTCCTGGGAGGGGAGAGGGGGATAGAGGTTGAATTAATCACCAACAACCAATGGTTTATTTGATCATGCCTATGTACTGAAGCCTCCATAAAAAAAACAAAAGGTTGGGGTTGCTGAACATGTGGAGGTGCCGGGAGGGTGCTGTGACTGGAAACGGGGCTTCCATGCTCATAGCTGTCCTGTGCATCTCTTCCCTCTAGCTGTTCCTGAGTTGTATCATTTATCATAAACTGGTAATTAAGTAAGAAAACTGTTTGCCTGAGTTCTGTGAGCCACTCAGCAAACATCTGAACCTGAGGACGGGGCTTACAGCAACCTCTGATTTACAGCCAGTTGGTTAGACCCACAGGTAACAATCTGGACTTGAGATTGGCATTTGAAGTGGGGGCAGTCCTGTGAGACTGAGCCCTTAATCTGTGGAATTTGCGACTGCCTCCAGGGAGAGAGTGTCAGAATTCAGTTAAATTGGAGGACACCCAGCTGGTGGCCACAGAGCAGTGGTACTGAGAGTGTTGTAGCAAAAACGTAGGAAAAATGGAGTTTTCCCTTTCCAAGTGGGCTGGGGGGCTGACTAGGATTGAAGCCATGTGGAAGTTGCCCTAAGCATGATTCCAGGACCCTCAGGCTTATTGTAAGAATTTGGAGACCAGTTACCTTCCCCCTCTGGGTACCTTAGGATTGTGTGTGGGGCTGGTACCTGGTCACTGTTGGTCCATTATAAAAATGGCTCTTCCCCACACATCTGACTGCTTGCGTCAGGGTTGCTGGGGGCACGGGGTGGTAATTTGAAGGGACCAAAAGGGCCCCAGGCTCAAGAGGTGGAATCTAGTTTCTCTGGTAGAGAAATTGAGATCTCACCAAATTTCTCTCCTCTCATTGAGTCTTCAGGGTAATGGGTCAGCCTAGAACAGAGATGTCCCCATGAGAGACACTCATCTCTGCCAAAAAGCCACAGGGCACCGTTCTGTTGGATTCTACATCAAGGCAGCTTTATTGCTGCAGCCTCAGCTCCAGAGACTAGATGTTTACATCTTCAAAGATCCAGGGGGTTGAGTCCAAACTGGCGGAGCTGCTCCTTGGCCTGGCGTGGAGCCTCAGCACGACCACATCCCACTGAGGCTTGATGGTCCTCAGCTTGGCCAAGAGTTGGTCCAGGCTGCCCTGCAGACACCAAGCTTTGGGCCCCAGAAAGGGAGAGGCAGGGGGTGCGTGGGGAGCCCCAGGTCGGTCCGTAAGCTTTCCTTGCCAATGTTTTCTTAAAGTTCCTGTTCTGAGTTGGTAGACATGGTTGTATTCCCTGGCTGCCTGCCCTGAGATTGAGCAGGTTTCCCTGCAGGGGGGGCCTGGCCTGTCATTGTCACAGTGGCGGGGCTTTGTAGGAATGGGGGAGTTCTAGCTACTGGGGTGGCTAGGCTGCTCAGGGCAGTGCTTACACTTGGCCTCCATGTCTGCCACATGGGTCCGAAGCTGAGCCAGGGTCCTGTCCCGCTCTCCGAGGGCCTGCTCAGCCTCTTGCCATGTAGCTTCAGCCTCCCTCCGGCATGTCTCTGGGGAGCAGGACAGAAGGATGAGAGAAGGCAGGATGGTGACATTCTTCCCATGAACAGTCTCCAAAGGTACTTCAAAAGCAGAATTGAGTGAAATCATTCCAGACTCCCCTAGGGTCATCAGCTTTCCGGTAGTCCCTATAAAGAGCTGAAGCAAGCTAGTAAGGCATAGTAGAGACAGCAGTGGGCTCGGGATAAGAGATCCGGGTCCAAAGCCTGGTTGTCACCTGCTACCTGTTGTAACCTTGGGCATGGCTCTCTCTGAGACTCAATTTCTTCATCTTTAAAGAGATACCCTACAGGTTTGCTATGGGTTTAATGTGGTAATCTATGGGGACACACCTAGTATATAGGAGGTGCTCAGTACACCTTGATGGAATTTAAATTCGAGATAAGGCAAAGATTAGAAAAGGAACTGAGGGTTGCATGGCAGATAAGTGACTCAGATGTCAGTAGCTAAACTGAAGCTATTTTAAGATAAGAAAACTTTGAGGCCAAAATTATGAAAAATCTTGTGTGCCATGCTAAGACACTTCAACTCTGTCCTCTAACCAAGAGGGAAGAAAGCAACAATTTCCTGTGTTTTATACCTTTGCTTATTTGGAAGGTTCATTCAAGAATTTAGCAAGTAGTTATTTAGGACTTGCTGTGCACTAGGCCTTGAATAGGAGTAAGCAAGTCAAACGTTTTCAATGAGCTCTTTTGTAAAAATCAGCTAAACTAAGAGGTAATATGTTTTACTCTTGAGAGGCAGTGGTGCCCATGGCAGTGGTAGCAAGATCTGGATTTGGAAAGACCATCAAGAGGGTGACAAGGGTGGAGAGACTTATGCCTTCTTTTCTTATAACTTGGGAGATTTTTGCCATGCTGAACCCTCTGCTCCAACCCTCAGTGGTGGGAGAGTTAGTGAGGAAAATGGTACAAGAGCCTGGATGGCAGTCTTTTAGAGAAGGGACCACCTGAAGTTCACCCCTCTTGGCTGGACCTTATCGTGACCTTTGGAGAGAAAGGGCTCAGAGGGTGGGCAAGCCTACCCAGCTGCTCCCGGAGGTCCCTCACTTCTTCCTCTAGCTGCCTGCTGCGGGCGTCCGTTTTGTCCTGCAGGTCCTGGCATTGACGTCTCATCTCTGTGGTGGGGGCAGTGGGCAGTGGGGTGTTGAGGGGGATGGAGCAGAGGAGAAAGGAAGGGAAGTGGCTGGTGGGCAGGGCGCTGCTTGATCCAGAGAGACAGCAGCATAAAGGCCTTCTTGGTTGTTGTGATTCTGAGAAGCTATGGGACTCTGAAAACCTGAGAAAGGGCTAGGACCCCCTTCTCCCATTCCAGCTCAGGATGGGATTCTGGCCCTTCTCCCTACTTACTCCCATGGGATGAATGAGATAAAGGTGGTGACTGAATTCTGTAATTTATAACGCGTCAAACAGATGCCCTGGACATTCCGGAAGGTCCTTTTCTGGGATCCCAGAGGCCTTCCTTTGATTGCTTCAGGATCCTGTCTGATTAGAGTTGAGCCGGGAAGGCTGAGGCCAGACATGGCAGACGGAAGTCCTCCCTGTTCCCCTTCCTTGCATCCTCTGGCCCTCTTGCTTGTCCTCTTCCAGGCCCCTTTCTCCTGCCCACCTGCTGGACCAACCACACACCTGTGTACATGGCCTTCCCCTCACTTCGGGCCCCCTCCAGTTCGGCCTCCGGCACTTGCAACTTCTGCTTCAGCTGGTCCTCAGAAGCCTTCGCTCGGCGGGCCTCACCCCTCCGCAGAGCTGTGAACAGACCCAGAGCAGCCCTCAGGACAGGCTGGGGGTCCCCCTGACTCAGCCCCCATGGGCTTGAAGGACTCTGCCCGCCTCTGGGAACCCCAAGCCTTTCAGTCTCTCCTGTGTTCCCCCTCCCACCACCACCACCACCGCCTAGAATCCCATAGGCTCATCTTTATTTGGAAGCAAAAACTTCCTCTATGGACTGGCTATAAAAAAATAGCTACCCTCATCAACCCTCACTTTCCACCCCTTCCTCACAATCCCGGCTTGAGACAATCTCTTCCACTAGAGGATGGTTAGAGATGAGCTCAGTCCCCTGCCACAGCTCCAACCCTCCAAACCTCCGAGGACACAGAGATGCCCCAATGCCCCACCTCCGTTGCCCCAGAGCTACTTACCTGAGTGTTCTTGGAGCAATTCCTTTTCCAGCACTGCCAACTTGTGCATGGATTCAGCCTCCACATCTGCCCTGGCAAGTTGGCAGAGCTTTAGCTTATCACCATCTCAGCCTTCCTCACTGCCCTCCCATCCTCATCCCATACTCTGGACTTTCTTCTTACAGATTTGAGGACCTTGACATGAGGGATCTCTGATGGTGGAGTCTACTGAGTTCGCTACTGTGTCCTCATGGCCCAGCACATAGTAGACATTTAAAATATGTGTGATGAATGTATAAGGAAGGCACAGAGCCAGGAGGAAGTGGGTGGGTGCTAATTTCCCCAGTTTCTCAGCCCTGTAGGTACTGGATGCAAAGATGTGAAGGGGGAGGGTCATAAAAGGTCCATCATGTCGTACAGATGGCTGAATTCCCTCTGGAGCATCCCTGCTTGGTCTCTGAGCCAGAAGAGCATGGAGAAGTAGGGGGCACCCACCTCCACCCACCCTGACTCACCAGGACCTGAATTCTGTTTTTTCTTCTGTGCCCCAGCTTTAATCCCTTTTTCTTTGGTCTTAGGCGGCATCTCCTTACTGTCCTGGAGGAGAGAGGGGACTCATATTTAGGTCTGGACATGGGGATGCTCTCTTGATCCCTAGATTGAACCAGAAGTTCCAGGAGAGTTAGAGTTCTAGTCTCCAAGTTTGTCTCTTATACTTTCCAGAAGCTTCCATTCTTCATATCCTTGGAAACTTAGGCAAAGCTGGGGTCAGTGGGGAGGATAGAGCTGTTCAATCAGTCAGGTTCTATGAACAGAAACCATTCCTCTCAATCCTCTTTTAGAGAAAATGATCCTTTCCCTCTTCCCCTTATCCTTACCCTACCCGTTCCTACCTGTAGGATCCTCTCTTACCTCTGTTGTGTTTCCCTGTGGGACCCACTCAAGGGGAAGGGAAGAGAAAAGGTCCAACCACCTGTCTGAGGAGAAGACAGGTTCTGGGAGCCAATCCGGGAGGCAAATTTCCTCTGGAGGCAGGACTGAGAACTGGGAGGTCGGGTTTCCGGAGACTGCATGCTGTCCAGGCAACAGGGAAACATGGAGTTCATAGGAAGGTGGATCGGGCTAAATACAAAGCTTCAAATAGCAAGGTCCAGGAGAGTCACTTCTCTCCTTATCCCCCAAATCCTAAGTGGAGTTTGAGGAGAAAGGGCTTTGGAGCTGATTAGCTATGATTCACTTCCATGTAGCACTGCTTGCAATTTGGAGACTTATAAATTACAGATTTACACATCTGAGATGGTGCCATTGGGCTGATTAAGAGGGAAAGGGCTGACAGTAGCCATTTTGGGCAATTTATCCCTCATCAGCAAAATGACATTATTAGGCTTAAAACCGAAGAGCCCCTTCAGGAAGGCATTGTACGATGTATGAGGGAAAGAAATGCAGGAGAAGGTTGTTGGAAGAATTTCCGTTTCAGAGAAATGAGACACAGAGGGGAGGTAGACCCCTGGACTCCAGGCTGCTGACATAGGAGGATGCAAACGTAGAAGAAAGGGCACTGGTTAGAGACAAGAGCCATGAGTTCCATTCCCTGCTGTGGATATGTCAACTTGGGCAAGCCATTGAACTTTGCTCAGCCTCAATGGTCTTTATATCTTTGACTGGTAAATGCTGAAAGGCTTGGCTTTTAACTGGGTATTTACAGGGCTATCTTCTCTCCCGGTGACCTCACTTCTTGCCTCTCTTTTCCTCATTCTCTTCAATGCTCGCTTTTCAGACAGGTGCTGAGGAGCCATGTGGCCAGGCTCCCTGCAGCAGCGAGTTGGCCGCGGCTCCCTCTAGTGGACTGACTGCTCGACCTTCTTTGGAGTCTTCTAAATGTTTCTATTTAAATTATTTATTGGGCAATGTTGGGGGTGCCTCCCTCTTGGGGATACTTCCTCCCGTCTTGCTGGAGTCATGGGTGACTGGAAAAATGAATCTGGGGGAGTATGATGGGTGACTTGCCCTCGTCAGGCAGCCCCCATCTTCTTTCCAGCCGTGCGCTGTTCTGGAGCCTGTCGTCTGTCTGCTACCGGATCTACAGGCATGATGCTAGCTAGAATGAAAACAGCAGAAACAAGCTTTCCCCCTTATGGACTAAGGGACTATTTTCTTAGATTTCTCTCTATTTTTTGTCCCCTTCAGTACTTGGTCAATTGCGTGTTGTCAGGGGCAGATCTGAAGAAATAGCCAAGAGATCTGGGACTTAAAAATCCTTCCTCTGGGGAGCAGGCAGATTCAGGCGGAGGCTGATTCATGTGTATTTGTCACCTTGGTGACTGCAGGGTACTTTGGTGAACTTTTGCATGTTTTATGGAGTAAAGAGCCAAGCTCGTCCTTACAAGGTGCTTGTGCTTTCTGTGCCTCAGGGTCAGATAAGTTTGTGAATATCTTCCAAATTTGAAGCATGTTTTTCAGTTACTCTCCCCCAGAATCCTCTCCCCCTGCCTAGGAAAGCACAAGAGGCTTCTGCTTCTCTTCTCCTCTTCTAGAAGCCTGTTTGGGAACATTTTCCATGGAATGACTAGTATCTCTGTTATGCTGATACACAGAATGACATATTGAAGACAGAGATGAAAGCATACAAACAACTATCATGGCTCAGAAGAGCATTTACTTTTCAAATATGTTCAGTCAACCGACTTTCAGGTGCAGAATGAGGATGTGGTTTGGATGAAGGTGAAATGGAATAAAAGGGCCACATGTCACATGATGTGATATAAACTAAGCCAGTTCTAGAAGAAACCAGGGGTGAGAATGACATTGTGATCAACCATCCAATCCTCTCTCTAGTATATTTTGAAAATAAGCCAAGTAAAAGTTGTGAAAAAAAGATCAATCCTTTCTTTTTTCATTTACTTCCGTTTAGAAGTTAAAATAGGAAAGGTCATTTCATCAGAACTCTGACTTCCTCTGAATAGGATTCCATCTTGGAGTTTTGAAGAGATATAGAGGAGAGAAGGGTCACTCTTTCTGCTTTATTCAAATGTGAGAGATAGGTCATTTGTATATTAAAAGAAATATGGTTTACTGCAGCAGAAACAAAATGCAAATTATACAATTTCATTCTAAAGAGAGTGTATTGAAGAGAATACAAATTGTAAGCCTTCAACTGAGCCAGAGTTGTATAGACCTAGACAAGCTCATACATAGCTCCAGGGTTCATTTCTTACCTGCATGCCATTAAATCTAGGATTTGACAATGAGGGAAAAACACCCTTGCATACCCACACTGTGCTAGGTACTGTGGAAGTCCCAAGTTGCTAAGAGAGTATAGCATAAATTAATGTGTGGTAGGTGTAAGAAATAAATGGTTATGGAAATTTAGAGGAAGTTAGGATCATTTCTGGCTGGACTGTCCGGTAAAGAGAACAATGTTGAGTTTGAGTTTTGAAGAATGGGCTGAACTTTAGTAGCACACTTTAGGCAGAGGGAACGCTATGAATAATGGTGATGAAAAAGAATCGTGGTATTTTGGGACTTGGTGAGTCACCCAGCATAGGGTATATGTATTGAAAGACTATAAAACTGAAAGGTAGTTTGGGGTTAGATAAATGAGTGTTAACTTCGTTCAGGAGGCAATGGGAGTTTACATTTCTTTGTGATGCTGTCAGAACTGTATTTTGGAAAAGCAGTTCTGATGGCAGGATGGATTGGATGGGGCAGGGAAGGGAGTGAGGAAAAGGCTTCAATAGATTAGGGGAGACAAAAAGAGGGCCTTGAAACTAGGGTGCTAGCACTGGAGATGGAAAGTTTTGACGATTATCTAAGAGCTTTACCTAGGTTTTTACCCTGAGAGGATCTCCCTTTCTAGGTGGGAACTGATTAAAGGAAATTCCACTGATAGGAAGTGATAATGCTGACTCCCTAATCAATCTTAGATAAAGGCCATTGAATTGTAAAACAAGGATGTCTGGTGGAATGTCCTTCTTCAGTTCAGGGATGTATTTCCCCCTCTTAACAGGAGTACTTGATAAGCTTAAGTCCCTAATCAGTCAAGTGCTCTGTGGAAGAGCCAGGCCGAGTACCTAAGGCGGAACTAAGTACTTATTGACACACCAGGGCCAGCAAGCTCCCAAAGCTGAGGCTCATAATGAGCAAATTAGGGCAGGGCATTTCCTTCTTTGGGAAGAGGTTCCTTTTTTCAAAGTTCTTCCAACGGAACTTCTAGATTAGAGAAGTGGAAGTGACTGGGAACTGCATTTCTGTTCCATGGGAGGAGCGAGCACCTCTCCAGCTGGGACTTGCAGCTTCCTTACAGTTTCTGTGGTCAGGGCCTGGTGCTGGAGACGCAGGACCTGCCGTGCAATGCGCTGAGCAGGGGAATCTTAAGTACATAGTCAGTTCCCAGAAATGGAACTAATGTTCAGAAGCCAAGAAAGGGGGAAGTGTTTTGCTTTCACAAGGGCAAATGGCCTGGAGGAAGAGCTCGCAGCCTGAGTGTCTCAAGCCTTTCTGGGGCCTAATCAGGCTCCAACAATCTGCAGCATTCACACATTCCTGTCCTTGGTCCCGACTTAATGAAGAGTTTAAAATGCCAGGGGGCTGGGGGGAATAACTTTTCTTTTTCTTCTCCAATGTGAAGCAAACAACTTCAAGCTCGATTTCTTCATTTGTCAGGCTGGGGGGGGGGGTCAGACCTGACGTTTAAGTTCTATTGCTACCTGTCTTGATTTAAATATCCCAATAACCCACCCACTCCAGGAGATCAAGAGCCAGCCCGCAAGGAACATGGAGACCTCGACTTCTGCCTAGTGCGCAGACTCCACGTAGGCTCCGCCCCCTGCTGCTTCTCCAGCAGGGGGCGCAGGCGCGAAGGTTCCGCCTTGGCCCTCCCCGCCGGTAGGGGATGGGGAGGCGGTGCGGAAACTTGGCCGCGGCTTTCCGGGAGCTGTGGCCCGGGAGTGGGTGGCGCAGGACGGGTCGCTCCCCAGGGCGGACCAGGCGGCCCGCCTCGCCGAGCTCGCCGCGCCCCTCCCGCCCCCGGGCTCGCGCGC